ACCCAGTCCTCTTCGGCACAGTCTTGGATTTCAAAGTAGACGTTTGAAGGTACATCATCTGGCTGAACTGCTGAAAGGTCCACGCCTGTGATAGTGGCATTGGGAAGGATGTTGGAGTCGGCGAGTTGAATCGGCCAAATCCCACTGGACGACATCATCATCATCATCATCATCAGCGACAGACCAACTGTGGGTGGGGAAAGACTTACGTGCCCGTGCCTATGTCCAAAACGGTCTGGACATTGTCTGGGTCAAGAGGAGCAAAGAACAAGCGGCCATGGAGGCGATTGAGGATTTCGTGCTGCTCGTCCAGTCGAACCTGTTCGTTTTCGTCGTTGGGGAATAGGTATGCGCCTTCTTTATATCGGTGGTATCTTCGGCCCCAATGGGTGGGATAGTCGGTGATGCTGGCAGTCAGAGAACGGGTATCATAGTGAGCATCCCCGTCAGAGGAATGAGTCGATTCGGAATCTGGCACTAGAGGGGAATCCATGGTTTGAATGGGCGTAGTCGTCGGTACTGGGGTTGCCGAAGACGACATGATAGTGCTGGGGACGAGTTGAGATGACCCTGCCGACCAGCCATAGGCTTATAGCAGGACCTCCAAATAGCACCTGACTTGGCAATAGTCAGAACCTGTCAATGATGATTCCTCAAACTCTGTTGGGTTGAGGTGGGATGGAAATAAGGTTCGTCAGACAACGTGTTGTGTGGAGGGGGGGGCACTGGTGGTAGGAGGGACTTCGTGTCAAGGACTGCAGATGGAGCCGAACAGCGGGCAAAAGGTGCTGAGGATGATTGAACCCGATGGCCAACCGGCAACCTAGTGTAGGGATACCGTGCAGTAGGCTGGGCGGCAAGATGTTCCAGAGGTAAGGTTTCGCTGGATGGAAGTGGTCGAAGCCGGGGAGAGGGCGGGCAGGGCGGTTCGATCGGCGAGGTATTTGGAGGATTGGTCGAGGGAATCAGAACAAAGGGTCCAGCCTGAAAGAACGGGGGCGGTTGAGAAGGAGAGATAGAGAAGAGGAGGAAGAATGAGGAGGAGGATAATGGGGTGAACAAGGGTTGATGGAGTCGAATGTGAATGTGTGTGTGTGGGCTGAATATGAATAATATTTGATCCCAATACTCGCCACCAGCGACCAGCAGTCGACGGAGAACTGTTGTAGAAGATGGAAATGGTGGATGGGACACGGAGTCGAAGAGAAGCAGAAGCAGAAGCAGAAGCAGAAGCAGGAGCAAGAGCAGAAAGCGACCAGATCAGACCAGAGCATGAGTCGAGGCCTGGCTGCTGGTGCTGCTGGCTGTTGCTGGTGCCAGGATGGTAGAGTGATGAAAGAAAAATGTGGGGAGATGAATGAGATGGTTTCCGAGTATGACAGTGACCAGCTTGCAGCTCCAACGTTCAAACCAAGCAAAGCAAGGGCCTGAAAATAGTGCCAGTACCACCATTGACCAGAGGGGAGAAGCCCGGCTGAAACCATAAGGCAGGCTGATGATTTGCAGCGACCCAAGAAAAAAGACCAGAGACCGTTGAACTTGGGCCACAACTCGTGGGGGATTTGGGTACCTACCGAGTACAGGCTGGTGGGCGCACCAGGCCAAGGACCTAAGTACGAGGTACCTACGTACCTGTTAGGTGCGCCATGTTCTGGGTAGGCGGGGGAACATGGTGAATGGGACACTGGTGATCAGTTGCACAATGACAAGAGACTAGCAGCGACCCTTGCTCCGGGGGCCAGGGAACGAAGAGAGCCAGAGTGCCCACTCATCCCTACTTCTCCCCCCCTCCCCTAACTTTACCAGTTAATGCCTCCTTCCTGGGTATTACACTGCTCAGCACAATGGCCTACAACAGCCTAGAAGCCGGCTGGTACAGCACTTGGAGATATCACTGCATAGCTAAGGTGGCTACTCACCTGCGCATGACCCTTTGTCGCACCTAGTTGAGTACTACACCATATTTGTATGTTGCTTGTACTCAGGCACATTCTCAACCCGGTTGTTCAGCGTCATCTTCATTAGCCACTTTTGTTTCCATCAGCGACCCGAGTCTCTGGTTCAGGTTGCAGGCGGCCTGCATACTGTGCATGTGCCGCAAATGCTGACAGGTTACACAATCGCCCCTCTGCCACTCCTCGCGCCCAATACCCATTGTCGTCTCGCTTTTTGGGTGCCATCTGGTTGCCATCTGGTGCCGCCCCTCTGGTCCCTCTTCATCAATGCCGAGAACGTTCTCCCCCGACTGTACACCGCCCTCGCTTGAGCATCCGGTTGGCCCATCTCAGCTTGCTTCCCAACTCGAAAGCCCTGAACACCATCACCGATCCGCATTTTGGTGCCTGAACCAATCTCCCTGGCCGAGTCTGGGTCTATCATGTGCCGTTCACCCGCTCTCTCAAAATGCGCAACGCGGCATCCTTTCAGCAACCGGAGCCGCTCATCCAAAAAAAAAACCAGCCTTTGCAAATCCCCCCACGCCTTTGTTTACCCTTTTCCCTTCCCCTCGCGTCCACGGCATTTCCCAAATTGTCGCATGCCGCGTGATCCAGATGATTCTGCTATGCACTTCCCGAGTCATTGGCTCGCCATGTCTGATGTCCGGGGACATCCAATTCTCCGAGAATGAATCAGTAGTGTCATGCATCTGGACGCTTTCGTCGCCGTCGCGCAGCACGGGCACCCGTCCGCAACCTGCCCTTCCGCGTGCCCTGTCCCTCCCTTCTTACTTGCAGCGCTTTTCCACAATGCTGGCCCCATGTTCTTCGTACTCCTTCTTCGATATCCACATCTGATGGAATGTCCCCAGGCTCGCCACGATGCTCCCGCCAATCCAGCTGCCAAACTTGCGCTCCACTGGCATTCCCGACGCTTGAATTCGCACTCGTGTATTGGGATATTGCTTGCTCAGCTCCTGTTGGATCCGATCTGGCAACCCGCGGATGAGCGATCCTGCACCTGTCACGACCACATTGCCAAGCAAAAAAGGTCGGATGTCCACGTCCACTTGGTTAAGGCTGGCCTTGACCAACCCAGTCACTGTGCCCTGTGCGTCAGGGGCCGGGTACAGCTGAGCTTCCTCGGACTCGGATACGGGCACATAGTAGCACTGCGGGTCGAATATCGACTCCACTAGTCTGAACCGTTCGGATGAAAATGTCTGATTATACCCGTCTGGAAACTCAAACGGATGCGCGTATTGTTGCTCCCGCGCTATCAGTTCGCCCTGTCCCCGAAACGGCGTATTGGGATTTGTCCATGCCTGGAGGGCGATCTCCTTGAATTCGAGTATCACTTTCTCTTCCTGATAGCGTCGGAACGACGGCCGCGGCGGCTGGAACCCTTCTGGGAATTGCTTCAACACCGCATTTGCCGGCTGTCCTGCATCCACCGGCTGTTTCGACTGAACGAGATAATGGGGTGTAATGGTTATCGGGTCTGGCTCGTTGGCTTCAAGCATGTTGCGCACCTGCGAAGATAGGAAGTTTCCTCCGATGTTTGACCGCATGATGCCCTTCTTCAAAATCATTCCATCGTGCACTGGTGTAACCGACACTTGGGACGCGCCAAAATCCAGAACTAGTGCTGTAGGCCTGCCCGCCGCCGCGGCGCTCATAACTCCAGCTCTTCCAAGATAGAATGCGGGCGCCGCCCATGACTCCAACGCAATCTCCACGCACTTTTCTCGGGCCTTTGTAGGGTTCCATGATGGTTCCGTCATGAAGAGAGGGTGATCTTCAAGGCACCGTTCACTGTCTACCGCCTCGGCCATTGCCTTTTGGAGGTCTGGCACGGCCTGGGGATCGTTGAGCCACTCTTGGAGCGCCCTGTTCGGTCGGACGCCTGTCAGTTTGTGTGCAAAGGAAAACTTCCACAGAGCTTCGGCTGCGTCCCAGTCTTCCACGATGCCATCTCTTCCCATGGGATTTTTGATTTCGACATCTTCACGAGGCACATCGATCACATGATCACCAAAGAATCGTTTTGAACCGGTCGAAGCGTAGAATGTAGGAACAATCGACTTGGGAGTATCTTCGCCCGCAAAGCCCGCCCGCACACTGGAGTAGCCTGGGTCAAGCACCAAGGCAGACACTTCATCTATCCGTTCCCCCTCTGTTAGCGAGCGCCCAGGTAGAGAACAATGACAACATATTGGGTACAGGGTTTCAAGTCTGATTCATACCTCCGGCGTATTCTGCGGCTTTGGGCTCATCTCTCGACGTCAATGTAGTTGCCATTGTTGGCCAGGAATTGGTGCGCGAGACGAATGGACTCAAAAGGGTGTCATTGAGTCACCAGGTACAGCTACACGTTACCCCTCCCGCACGAAATAGCTTTAGCTTGCGCGCAGTGAGGTGCGTCTCTAATGGGTTTGCTGTCCAAGACGCGCCGCGAAAACCCGCCAAGGTATTGCACGGAGCCGGAAAATTATAAATCCGCTGTCCCACCTGCAGCCTTGTGCGGGCTTCACGACCGAACTTGCAGGATTAAAACAGCAGTGCATATTTATTCATCGCAAACTACAGTAACTGCTCACGTGCGTGGACAGTCGGTAAACCAGAGGAATCCATTACGGAACGTACTAGCTCAAAAAGCCCTACGTTCATCCGTACGAAGGACTACAATGTTAGCCCATTGAAGTGTGCAGAGACTCTTTAGACTCTCCAACCTGAAAGCAATCCTGAGGGCAGTTTGCAAAAATATAGGACGCCCAGTGGTGTCGGCGGTCTAGCAGACAACCCTATTGGTGATTTCAAAGGGGAAATCGAATGGTGAGCTGTACAGGCAAAGATTCATTGTGTTTGCAAAAGAAGAAACAATGTACAAATAAAAGCACTCGCCCTTGTTGAAAAGACGGAAAACCATGACTTACCTGGAAAATACAACTCACGCGCCTTTGCAAAGGGGGGGAAGAGATAGTCCAGCTCAGTAAATCCAACTTGGACGCGAGCCAACCACGGCATGTCGCGGCGTCCTTTCCCGTAGAGTAATTTCCCCTGTTATGGCGCGTCTGTCATTTCTGCGTCTTCAGGCTGATGTGCTTTAGCCATATACTGGAAATGTTTGTTCCAAAACACTTTCCACAATTGATGTGCCCAGCGCCTATGTTTCAAATGGGACGAAAAAGCATGTGCAATACTAGGCCCATTAGTGGCACTCTGGTTGGGGTGCAGCGACGACGTTAAGCGTATGACATTTTCCTCGTAGCGCTTTGCAGGTCCGCTCTCGAATATACTGATCCAAAGGAGCAGATGCTCCTCTAGGACATCGATCGTCCAGTATTGTTGTGTCCCTTCTTCTCTGGCCAGTGACCACCCCACGAAGTCAGACATAGGGCTTCCCATGTGAATCAAAGCCCAACAGACGAGATATGACTCTGGAGGTGGATTGCGACATTGCGAAAGGCGAGCGCGGTGGGCGCTAAGGCAACCGATAAGCATGGTAAAATGAGCGCGAATTCCCTTGTCGGGTGTGCAGAAATTGACAAATGCTTCCCAATGCTCCATGGATTCAAACCGGGCCTTTTCAGCGTGCTGGTTCAGGATTTCTCCAATTTCCTTGCCGTCACAATAGGAATGATGGTATGCACGAGTCTTCTCCAGCGGGCAAAAATCGACGGTCGGAGGGCAAATGCTAGTCTGAGCAATGTCTGTATTACTGCAGGGAATACCGCAGTTATGGCCGCAGTTAGGGCATCCCGATGCCGGATTGAAGCTTCCGTTCATTTTGAGGTGGTATCTCAACACCTGTTGAGAGTGAGGACTGGGGGATACTGATAAAGGATTATTCTGGTGGATATATCGGATGCTGTTCATAGATTAATTATCGGCGGCAGAAGTGTCATTCTTGGAGCGGAAGGGCGGTCGACGGCCGAAGACATGGTACAAAATCCGCTCTTTGAGGCATTGACATTTGATAGTCGTTGAATGGGCTTTGTCCTATCCGCCCCTCGCGTCACCATGGCTCCATTAGAAGTCGGCTTTCTGTTGTGCATTTCCATTGAAACCATGTTTTTGGGACCACCTTTATCCACAATGGTCTTTGTGATAGTCGATCCCAGTAACGAAACTTTTTCTCTTTCGACGGCAACTGAGATGCCCACTCTAAATCTTGCCCTCGTCGGTCATCCTCCGAATTCGATTCAGCAACACAGTTCCCTGGCGTCCGAGCTTGATTTTCCCATCTTTACCAGGTCTTCTAGCCTTTGCCATGGCTCTGTGTTCCTTCTCGCGAGCCTCCCTAGCTTTCCTTTTCACTTCGAGTGCCGCTTTGTAGTGAGCCGCAAGCTCTATTTCTTTCTTGTAGCGTGATTGCTTCGGAGGACGCTTCCTCGATTGAGTATAGAGATTTCTACTCGGCTTCTCGGCTTCACTCTTGTCTGGTTGCAAATGTGGATCGCCCGCATCCATTCTCTCGAGCATTGCTTGTCGATCCGGATGTAATTCGAGGCTTGTGGGAGCATTTTCGGGCAGGACGTCAATAAGGTCGCCCTCAGAATGGGGCTGCGTAGTGGTTCGTGCAATTTGTGCAGCCTCCTCTTGAGCCTTCACCTTTGCATAGGCCTTTTTCACCTTTGCTTTTTGGATAAGGTCATTCTTGATCTTTTGTGCTAGCAATTGTTAGCCTAAACACACTCTACAGAAGGCGAGGAGTGTTACTTTTGCGCCTGTAAGTGCCATCGGGAAGATTTGCTGGACCGACAGAGAATCCTTTGCGTTTCTTCCTGTCTGGGTCCTTTGAGCCAACAAGTGAATTGTCGCTGGCTCGCTTGAGACTCATCTTGTCTTAGTCAATGTCCTCTTTTCAAAGTCCAAAAGAGCGCATCAAGATAGGAGGAGGAAGCAGAAACGACTGACGGTTTGGTATTCGGGATGCGGGGTGCGGGAAAAATGAATTAGAATCATGGTATGGAAGGCATATTGCGGAGTCAAATAGGTCTGCATAGCGTTCTGCTGCGTTCTCCAGGATCGTGGTCCGCCTTCTTTGGGAATAGAATGATGCCGTCCTTACGGACAATTTGGCTTGGCGTCGGTCCATTAATTATATCACAACGTCCATGATAAGTCTACTCCAGCGAAACCGCAACCCTAGTACTCAGTGAATTGACTGGGACTCCTGCGCTTGAATGGGCTTCAAATTGACCGCGGCTTGTTCACCTCCCGACACAACCTCTGCACCAATATCAGTGGCTTGCTCGCTAATGCATCCAAAAATATTGTACAAAATCGTCGCCATTTCTCTGATCTCGCCCTCCTGGAACATCCTTACACTACTGGGCGTGCAGGCTTCTTCCTTTTTATCCGGTTCACTTTGTCGTGTGCGAGCACCCCGGCTGTCATGTATCGACAGACAGGGGCACAAAGTTTCGGGGGCGGGGGGGAAGACACGTCAGCCAGCTCCGCTCAGCTTTTCGGAATGAGGTCAATTTGTGACAACAAGCGGTGGGCTCCCTCGTGTGCAAGGGCCAAAAACAGTGGCACCAGCGGCAGAGAAGCACCCAAAACGGCAGCCGTTGTCCCTAAACCTAACGTTGACTGGCAGAGATCTGGGGATTTCACCGGGCTAATTAGGTACTGTAGGTGAGTCAAGGTGAGTTTAGTAAATAATAACGTCTATTATCTTTCAAGAAACTGAAAATTACAACTAGTGATATGCCTTGTTAGCCTCTGCAACCCAATTGAAATTACCTCGAATTAGAATAACGAACTCGAACTGGAGCCCGTGATCTCTGGGATAGCCGCGTCAATTCCGCCACAGTAGGCGTTACCTACGACGAGGTCCCCGCCTGGTTCAGTTATGGCCGTGGACGGGTTAGGACAGACGCCGTCGGTTTGGCCGATGAAGCAGTTGTCACCAGTATTGGAATTGCTTACGAAAGCCCAGACTGACGTGTCTCCTAGCTTGATGGCCGCGACTCAACAGTCTAAGAGCAAGGCTCCATAGATTAGTTGTCACGTTCAGTCTTTCGGGGGCGGGGGGACACAAATGGAATATTTGTTGGGCCCTGGAATCATCCGCCTGGTCCAGGACATTTGCACTGGTATTGTATGATCCAGGAGACGAGAGGAATGACTGACCGTATGCGGTGTCTGTTTGGGGGTCTAAGACAGTCTCAAAGCCACCTACGACCTCGACAAAAGGCGTACCTAGGTATAGATCTAAAAAAGACGCGTATGGTCAGTCTCTTTTGTTTTCATCGAGTATTGTGAAGAAATAAAACCCAGCGAGGATAGGGTTCATTCCGTTTGCGCTTTTCTGCCGGGTTTACCCCGAAACAGACGCAGATTGAACTGGAGAAGACTAAACTTACCGGCGAGATTGTTGGTCGCACATGCTGCGTAGTCTTTAGTAGTTGAGAGGAGGGCCGTGATCACTGATGTCGAAGTACTCGTTGAGGTCTCGGTAACAGGGATGACCGTCGAAGTTGTTGCCGTGCTTATGGTGGTGGTGCCAGACGGAATCGAAGTCTCGCCGTGGTCAAGGGGGAGATAGCGGTTGTAGTCGTTGCTGTGGCGGTGGTGGTAAACGTAACGGTCTGGATCGTTGTCGCAGTCGTGTCCGGAACCCAGTGATGGCAAGAGACTCCCTGGGATAATGTCATCCGCGAAGACCTGGCTGTGACAATGGATTACTGCTATCCTTGCCGCGTCCGCCCTTGGCTTCTCGCTTGCTAATGGCACCAACAGGGTCAGAACAGCCTGATCCAGAGTAGGTGGAACTTGGAAGGGAAGTCTGAACATGAGTGTGAGGTAATAGGCGCAGCTACCGTTGACGTCCCAGTTGAAAAAGTGGCCGTCGTCGTCTCGTAGTTGTAGTATCTGTTGTCGTGGTTGTGTCGATGGTGTTTGGTGACCGACATAGTCTGAGTTACGGTAGAGAATGAGGTTGGCCCTTCTGTGATCGTAGTGCCGGTAACTGTGGATGAGATTGGAGCTGGCCCCAAGACCTTGGTGGCAGTGGCCGTGAGAGTGGTGGTACAGGGCTTATACCGGGTGCTCCAGGCTGTGGTAGTGTTCTAGAGGCCGCTGCTGGTACCCATTCTTGTATAACATTGTGTGCTAGCTGAAGAAGCCGAAGGACCTAGATTGTTGTTTGGCGGCCCTCGGGAAGCAGCAGCAGTCAGTGCCGTCCATGAGGCCAAGATGGTCAGGACGGATGAGGACAAATACATGACAGCAGCCTGGAGGACGAACGACGATCGTTGGATAGTTGGATAGTTGGAATCGAAATGCGAAAACGAATAGAACGAGCAATGGCTCTGAAAGACAGAAAGCGAGGGACCGATCGACACGAGCACAAAGAGAAAACATCGAAGCAGATATGAACACTCGGCACTGTGGGAAAGCATTGTCACGGCTTTTGAGATGGTTGATCTGACCACATCATGGCACTGATACTGTGGAAGCGCGTGGCGTAAGTCTGGGGCGCTGGCGCGGGAAATTGGGATTTTCTCTATCCACGCAATGACCTACTAAATAAAACTAAGTAAACGAACTAGGTAGATGGCGACACTACTCAACAGGCAGTAGAATGGGGACCGGGTGGAGGGTGGACTTACGCGCCGTCAATACTTGAATCTACTTATGCATGTTCTCTCTCGAAAAGAAGTGAAGGTGGCGTTCTCGAAAAGTTGATATAAGTATGGACGACCACGCCCTCTTGTATCATACCAAACTTTGTCAACCCACCAAGCAAGCAAGATAGCGACTACCTAACTTCTGCACTTATCCACTGATGAAATCTTCTATTCTCCAGGAGGCAATAAAACGTCTTTCTGGGGGAAATGCTACATACCTGGTCCCTGCTCGTAGTGGGTATAATCTACCTCGTACTAACTCTCCTGATTCAATTTGGATCACCCTTCACCATCCCGCCTCTTCTCGCATCGCTTGAGAGTGTGAAGGGAGCGGCGGCGGAATAGGTAGGATAAGGCTGGCTGACCGCGGCTGTTGGATCAACGTATTTGTACTTGTAGGTAGATCACTACCTTGCCCACGCGCTAATGACCCTTTGTGGAGCACCCGAGGTCAGCCGTTGTAATGTCCAGTAACCTACAGGGGGGGATCATGTACGGGCTGACACCCCCCCCCCTGGTTCACTAGCTTGTTGCAAAACCTCTCATTCTCTACCACTTTGTATGCCCACCGTTGGCTGCGATGACAGCTTTACAGCGCTCTGGCATACTCTCTATATACTTAATAAAGTCCTATTTATCCAATCTTTCCCATTCTTCTAGTAGATACTGTCGAACCTCAGCATCTATCTTTGGAAAACGTCTCCCAATTCGATATTTAAGAAGCCGCCAGACATTCTCAATAGGATTTAAATCTGGCGAATGAGTAGGCTAAACCATTCGAATAACACCATAATATATATAATATACTCTTATTAACTTTACTGTATGAATAGAAGTATTGTCCTCCATTAGAATACCTCTCATAAATCCAACTGTTTATTCGATCTCTCGAAGATGTTAATAAAAATGAGGTAGAACTCTTTAAGTATAAATCTATGCTGAAACTTTACCCTAATCTTTATCCATCAATATAAGAGAACCTTTTAAAATCGTAGATATCGACGCGTATGTCATGGCTACTAAAAAACCAGAAAATTTTGGAACTAGATAGCTTGGATGATATTTCTCTTCAACTGTACGCGTAACATAAACGTTTCTAAAGCCTCCTGTTGTAAACGAAGCCGCATCTGTCCATATAACGCGTTTCCA